AGATTTCTGTAATGACTGCCAAAATCGCAAGGTAAATCTACTGTCTCTATCCGAGATAATAGATATTGGCACACCATGCAGTCGTACTATCTCTCTAATGTAAGTTCTGGTCAATTTCTCCATCTTGTCCGTTTCATTTATTGGCAGGAAGTGAGCGGATTTGGTTAATCTATCGACGATTACCCAAATGGTGTCATGACCATCCTTGGTTTTGGGCAACTTGGTTATGAAGTCCATTGTAATCCGCTCCCACTTCCACTTAGGTATCTCTGGCTGTTGTAGTAAACCTGATGGCTTCTGGTATTCTACCTTGACTTTGGCGCAAGTTAGGCACTTTCCCACATAGGTAGCAATCTCGGATTTCATGTTCGGCCATCAATAGAATTTCTTGAGATCCAGATACATCTTATCTGAACCTGGATGAATGGAGTATTGAGTTTTGTGGGCTTCGTTCATGACAACATCTCTGTAGCCACCAAAATTTGGTGTCCAGATCCGATTCATGAAGTAACGAACTCCGTCACCCTTGATTTCTAAGTTCTTATCCATTCCTCTTAAGGCTTCATCTGCCACATTATCCGGCCTCAAGGCTTCTAGCTGGGCCTCCTTGATCTGTGTGGACAGATGAGAGTCCTCCATGTTCCATCTTCATCCCAATATGTTGACACACTAAGGGCCTTCCATCCACATTGTTCCATGAATCCCGATCAAGTTTAAACGTTTGTCCCTCTACTGTTCAAACTGCGTGGGGATATTAGCGGACTGTGTTCTCCTATGTATATGTTTTGTAATATGACCCATATGACCCTTTGTTATAATCATGCATATATATTGTTATATTGTCTATTATTCAAATCAATGAGAATGATACTCACTTTCAATCACCTCCCAAATAAGCAATGTTCATACCGTTAAAACCTTCCTTATAACACAATTTGTAAAGATTTTCAATGCACTTAATATCCAATACCTTTCCAATAATAATTGTTAAAGAATAAGGGATCATCAACAAGTCTTAATGCACTTAAAGATTTTCAATGCACTTAATATGAACCGTGTAACACCCCAAATCCCAGGTATAAACTTTACAGTTTTATGTTCATTTTGGAAGGTCTACTCGACGAGTTGGATGCCCCGACTCGTCGAGTAGGAATGGGTTTGGCCGTGGGATTTAAGTGACCAACTCGACGAGTTGGAGGACCCAACTCGACGAGTTGGAGCTGGAATGAGAAACCCTAAATTTTAGGGTTTTCACCCTATTTAAAGGACCTTAAGTCCCTTCCTCCAACCCCTTACCACCCCCTTGACGGCTAAGAGAAACCCTAATCATTCTAGACCTTGATCTTGAGTGTTTGTGAGATTAAAGAGTAATTTTGGTGCATTTTGTGAAGAAGGTGTGAAGTATAAGAAGCTTGGAGCAAAGAGGAGCTTGTGGATCTGACTCTACTTCATCTTGGCATCATTTTGAAGGTAACAAGTCGTTACCTTGGCTTATCTTTAGCTAGATCTTTTCATGGTTGGGTTTGAGGCCATCTTTATCATTTATGTGAGCCATTTTGGGTATTAGCCATGATCTGAAGTTGCAACTTCAGATCTGGACCCCTCCAGGTCTCAAACTCATAAAGTTATCAACTTTATCTCATAGGAACCCCTCACCATGCCCTAAACCTCATTCTAGACTTGGTTTTAGTGTTCTAAGCCTTTAAGACCTTGCATGCACGTAAAGTTTGCAACTTTACGTGGAATCTATGCCTTAGGAAGCTGGATCTACAATATGGAGCTTTGGGGTGGCTTAAAAACGTCTGGATAAAAAATGGACTACATGAACTCGACGAGTCGCATAGCCGACTCGGCGAGTCGGATGAAGATTGCCCGTATTTGATTATGTATGAACTCGGTGAGTCAGTAAGAGGACTCAACGAGTCAGTTAGGGTTTTCCCCGACATCTAGACACGAAAGGACTCGACGAGTTGTTTGGAAACTCAGCGAGTCAGTTAGGGTTTTGGTGATCTCTGAGTTCTTAAGGAACTCGACGAGTTGCTAGCTGCACTCGACGAGTCGGGTCAACATGGACTGTTGACCTTGACTGTTGACTTTGACTTTGACCGATGGTTGACCAGTTTGACCTCTGGGGATATTTAGGAAATTGGGAATTTATGGAAGTGGTTTGTGGTGAACATAGGTGGTGGAGTTCGTGGTTGTGATTCGAGAGTTTGATCTTATCACTACAGTTTGACAGTTGTGAGGTGAGTTTTCCTCACTATACTCAAGGGTCTAAGGCACAAAGGTCAACCCTTTTGGATTTGTTATCCGAATATGTTATGCTAGTATGATCTGTTAGATCAGTATCCTGGTAGATAGGATGATATTATGCTGTTATGATCTGTTAGATCAGTATCCTGGTAGACAAGATGTTATTATGCTATTATGATATGTTAGATCGATTTGCTTGTCTATAGACTGTTATGTGATTATCTGATATATGTGCACATGTTTGATTGGTGGTTGAGGCTTATCTGCTTTGTGCGAGAGCCAACAGACCTGGGCATTCCAACCCGATGGTTGTGGGCCGTGAGTATTCCATCCCGAGGATGATTGGACTCGTAGTATGTGAGCATTCCAACCCGATGGTTGTGGGCCTGGGGTATTCCATCCCGAGGATAACTGGACCCATAATATGTTGGCATTCCAACCTGATGGTTGAGGGCATGGGGTATTCCAACCCGATGGTTGACTGGACCCATAGTATGCTGTTTGTGATTATATGTATATCGTTGTGTTGTATGAGTATTTTGGGGGAACTCACTAAGCTTCGGGCTTACAAGTTCAGTTTTGGTTTCAGGTACATCAGATAATCGCGGGAAAGCGAAGGCGTGATCGTACAGCTCCTCATATTTTATGATTTTGATTTTTGGGATACTATGACATGAAAATATTTTTAAAACACTTTGTAATAATTAGTGGTTTTAATTGGTTGAAAAAGTTTTAAATTGGCTCAAATTTTATGGATGTTACAAACCATGTGTATGTAAAAGTATAATTCTTTGAATCAATTTTGATTTTTTGATCACTCATCAAATCAGAATATCTAGATATGATAAGAGACTAAAGTAGGTTAAAAGAATAAGGACATTGTCGTTATTTTATCTCTTAATAAAGTATAAGGATTTTTTGAGTCATCTATGTGCGTAATTTTAAAACATAAAACAAACTTAAATATTATTAATTAAACAAAACGGTAAAACAATGAAATTGAAGACTCAAATCATAAGGAATTGCCACATGGGTGAACCAACCAATGACTTTCTACTTAAATTTCTAGTGACCATTTTTTTATGATCACAATATTTTTTTGGCAATTTTCAATAAATATTCAATAAAAACTGTTTTGTTATTTTGTTAGTCAGTATTCAGTAAACATTATTTTGTTATTTTATTTGTAAGTTTTTTTCAATAAATATTCAATAAACACTATTTTATTATTTGTTAGTTAGTATCTTTTCTCCAACTCACTATATAAAATAGCTAGTAACTATTTTATGGTAACTAAACCTATTTCATTTGGTAATTAAATAACCTTACAATGTTTTTACATGATATTAAGGTGAGTTGGAAAATGAAGAGTACTTAATCACCATTAGTTTTGGTCACTAAGTCTCCAATGCAATGATCATTATTTTTGGTCACTAAGTGGGTGTTTGAGATTGTTTTTCAAATTAGTTTATTAGCTTATTGACTTTTTAAAAAACTAATAAGCTAAAAAAATGTTTGGGTTGTTCAAAAGTATTTTTCAAACAATTTTTTGGATAGGCAAAATAAATGAGTTTCAAAAAGCCACAAAATCCTAGCTTTTTAGTTTTTCTTACCACTTTTTATTTCTAAAAAACTAAGCCAAACATTAATCCAAACACTTTTTAAAAACTTCTTTTTTAAAATGTCATAAGCCAATAAAAACTTCAATACTACTATTTGCCATCGTTAAACCTTTAATTCAATTAGTGACCATTTATTTTGGTTATTAAATCTCGAATGTAGTGACCATTATTTTTGGTCACTAATACTTGTTAAGATATACAAAAAAATATATTTTAATTTTAATCTACATTTTGGTGACCGGTAAGTGACGACCATCATAATAATGGTCATTAAATTTGTAATATTATCAAAACATATTTATGACTTAATACATGGTGACTAAATAATGTTGTTAACAAGGACTTTTCTTATAGTAATCACATGAGGCAATCCAAATGATCACTAACATCGTAGCCATCAGAGTAAAGAAATTTCCCCAAAAGTTATACTTCAAGGTCAAGAATAAATAGAATATGAGCCTTAATGTTGGTAATACTAAAGACCTTGTGTTGCATAGGCCTAGCTTCCGTCATCATAAGACAATCGAAGAAAGAAAAAATGGTTGGATGATTTTCTAGGGTACGACAGTAGCCGCCAGTAGAGAGAGAGAGACGTATTGCTTCCTCTTGACACCTACACGTTTGCTTCAACTGAGTTTTCTCTATTTGTCATCTGTTCTTGTGCACTCACATGAATAATTTTAGATTACAACTCAAACTTTTAATTGTTACTTATCGCAGATCCAAAAATGTATAACATACCATGTAATTTAATTTAATTTATTATTATTATTTTTTTCTATCCTGGATGTCCTTTGTTAACGGCAGTCTTTTAGGGTCTTTGCCTCTTTGGTGCGTATTATATTTAGTTATACATCTAGACAGTAACGTTTTATCCTAGGAAGGTTAGATTTCTCATTTGGTAACGAACCTTAAACTTCCCGCGTTTGAGGCGTGCGCCATGTGAAACAAATAACTGCCACAAGATGTTTGCCAAATTGTTACATAGAAATATATAAGTCATATGTCCATAGTCAACTCTATTTTGTCATATTCCTATGTTAATCTTATAACGTACAACATAATATTTTCCTTAACTTTAAAATCTCATACTCCTTAGATTTCTTGAAACCATATTCATCACTCATGCATCTCCTTTTTTATTTCCTTTTCATTTTCATATACATCAACCATGCCGAAACGAGGTGCATTGATCGTGACCGGAGGGCACTCTTGCAATTCAAAAAAGGGCTCGTGGACGATTATGCCCTTATCAAGTCATGGAGGAATACCAACAAAACAAAAGATTGCTGTAAATGGAGAGGTGTAGGATGCAGCAACGACACTGGCCAAGTCATCAAGCTTGATCTTCATGTAGATTTCAACGCAAGTGTTGGCCAATTTTTTGGTCTAAGTGGTCAGATCGATTCTTCATTGCTTTCATTAAATTCTTTGACATATTTAGACCTGAGTGGAAACAGTTTCACTCGTATCCCAAACTTCCTTGGTTCCCTCAAGACACTACAACACCTCAAACTCGCTAACATTGAGTTAACTTCATCAAGATTTCCGCATCAATTAGGCAATCTTTCCAGCTTACAAACTCTTGATCTTGCAACTACATCGGTGGTCATTAAGAACACAGATTGGCTCTCTCGTCTTTCCTCACTCAAGTACCTAAATCTTAGTTATATAGACCTCAGTGAATCTGTTGGGTTACTTAATAACGCCATCACATTGCCCTCCCTCGTAGAGTTGCAACTTGAAAGCTGCTCGCTTCCCAATAACACTGCCAAATCGTTCAATCGCACCATGATCATCAACTCCTCTGTTTCTTTTGCAGTTGTTAATATTAATTCTAACGATCTTCCAAACTCTATGATATATCCATGGTTATTCAATTTTAGTAGCAGCCTTACTTACATCGATCTATCTAACAACAAGCTACTTGGTATCATTCCTGAAGCATTTGGTACATTTAAAAACCTCCAAACCCTAGATTTGACCAACAATGGCCTCGAAGGTGGTATCCCAAGCTCATTTCAGAACTTGAGCAACATTCAGGAACTTTTCCTAACTGGGAACAATCTCAACCAAGATCTTCCCAGCCTTTTCCACAACCTCTCTGGCCCCGGACCCGAGAGATCTTTAATAGTTCTGGATTTATCTTATAACCAGCTAAGCGGTTCGTTGCCTGATTTTACAACATTCACATCTCTCAAGGAACTGTACCTTGAACAAAATCAGTTGAACGGTTCTTTCCCAGAAAAATTTGAAAAAATCTCGAATCTTTCCATCCTTGATTTGGCGGATAACCGTATCAATGGATTTCTCCCTGATCTTTATGTTTTCGCTTCTTTGTGGGAATTGTATTTTGAGAGAAACCTATTAAATGGAACTCTAGCTGAAAAGTTAGAGCCTCTCTCCATGCTCGAGTCTTTGGGCGCATCTTCGAATTCTTTTGAAGGTACGATCTTTGAAACACATGTTTCTAATCTTTCTCGTTTGACTTACCTCGATCTGTCGTTTAATTCGTTGGCTTTAGAAATTGATTCCGATTGGTCTGCAACTTTTCAACTCGAAACCATCTCGTTGTCATCCTGCAAACTCGGGAGTTCTTTCCCGGGATGGCTAAGAACTCAAACGAATTTCTCTGTGCTTGATATATCTAACACCGGAATCATTGATTCCGTCCCTAGTTGGTTCTGGGAGTCGTTGATTCCGGGCATTCGTTACTTAAATCTCTCCTCCAACCAGATCCATGGCCTGATTCCGGATTTTATATTTGGTAACCAACCTATAATCGATATGAGCTCAAATAACTTCTCGGGTAACTTACCATTGTTTCCTCTTGACACCATTACTCTAAAGCTCAACGACAACATGTTATCCGGGCCGATTTCTTCCTTGTGTAACCTGACTGGCTTAATCCGGCTTGACCTTTCTAATAACAAACTGTCGGGAGAGCTTCCAGACTGCTGGAACAGTCTTAACATCCTGGCTATTCTGAACCTCGAAGACAATGGATTTACGGGGAAAATTCCGGACTCCATAGGGGCCCTTGAAGGGATTGATATGATGAGTATGAGAGGCAATAACTTGACTGGAAACCTACCATCGTCCTAAAAAAACTGCACGCATTTGCGACTTCTTGATCTTGGAGAAAATCAGCTGTCTGGTAAGATACCGAAATGGTTAGGGAAAAGCTTGTCAGCGTTGCTTGTTCTTAGCTTATCGTCAAATCAGTTCCATGGAGCCATTCCTACAAGCTTATGTAAGATCAAGAACATTCAAATTTTGGACCTCTCCATTAACAATATCTCCGGGAAAATACCCAAATGTATCGATCAAATTTCGGGTATGACAACGAGGGATATAAGTACCCAACAAATAAGTATTGAACACAGTTCAGTCGGGTTAGCTCGAACCAGACTCATTGTCAGAGTCTACGCTATGTTTAAAGTATTACTGCAATGGAAAGGAAAGAAATCGGAGTACCAAAAGACACTGGGTTTGGTCGTTAGCCTTGATCTTTCTTCCAATAGACTAACCGGTGAAATCCCAGTTGAGATCACGAGTCTTTCGGCTCTCATTGCATTGAATCTTTCAAGAAACAGCTTCACCGGATCAATACCTAAAGACATCGGTCGATTGGGACAATTGGATTTTCTTGATCTATCAAGAAACGACCTTTTTGGTGGAATCCCTACAAGCCTTTCACAGTTGACCAATCTTGGGGTGTTGGACTTGTCCTTCAACAACTTGTCGGGAAGAATCCCGAAGGGCACGCAGTTACAAAGCTTTGACATGTCATCATACGCCGGAAATCCTGCACTTTGTGGGGTACCACTTCCGAACATATGCCCAGGTGACGAGCCAGAAAGTAAAAAACCGAATGTTGTTGATGTTGCTGAACAAGAATCTTATGACGATAAGTTCGATAAGGGGTTCCTTATTGGCATTGTAGCTGGTTTTGTCTTTGGGTTTTGGGGTGTTTGTGGCTCGTTGGTTCTCAAAGAGTCATGGAGACATGCGTATTACGGATTCTTGAATGTCGTCAAAGATTGGGTTCTTCTAAGAGTAGAGCTGGGTTTAGCTAGGCTCCGGAGCCAAACTTCACCTAAAATATCCAAATCCGGTAAGAAGACGCGCTGTAGGATGATTTATTGCTGATATGCATTATTCTTGTATGAAATTGCGTCAATTGCCAACACTTATATGATTGTATAAGTATCATGTAATTTTTGTTATAGTAGATATTTTTTTTTTTTGAGAAATTTTATTTTGTGGCATAAATAGATTGTGATACTTTTATTTTCTTTTTGTTTATCCATGAAACATGATTCCCACTCAACAAAGTAGTGATTGGTGCACCAAGAAATGGATATATTATACTTCTCTTTGCTTTGTGTTTTGTGTGCTCTGTTGGTAAACCAAAAATGAATCGAGTAATTTTTGTGTATTGTGATATTACAGTTGTGTTTGTTTCTTTTATGATCTCAGTTTGACTTTTTATTGCTATGTTTAAATTTATACCACTGTATAATAAAGATTGCAAGCTAGTTACTCATGTTTATAGGTTTAAGTTTCATCAATCAAATCATGCTAGAGAGTGTTTTAATTGATAAGAGACATCATTGAACCCAATGACAATTTTCCCCCTTTGTTCTCAAAGCAAATGTGAGAAATGGAGTCACTCCCCTGCTATTTTTAGATAGGAAGCCCCCTTATAGTTCCCCAATTTCAGTTCTCATATTTTCTTCAACTCTCCCACCTTATTAAGGCTTAAGTATTTTGTTTTTCAACATGTTTTTCTTGTTTAATTGTTAACTAAAAATTAACAAACTCTCTAGTTTGTTAATAACACATGTATCCTCTGTTTTTTTCAATCCAATGGTGGTGGACTAGCACAGCCTATTCTAATGTGAGGCCATTCGGAAGTTTTTATGCTGATGCTACTTAAATACCATCAAGAAAAACCTTGTAACTATTTTGCATTCACTCCTTTGTTACCAAGTGTCACTGTTGGCACTTTTGAAGCTCAAGAAGGTACTTTTTTTTACTTATTCTTTTTTTTTTCATTATTTGTTGCTCAATTTGTTAGTGTTTGAATCCAAACTGAATTATCAACCTTCTGAGTTTGTGGATTTTCATACTTTTTTACATCTTTGTTACTTAATGTGGACATTACTTGATCCAATAAGCTATATAAAGTATTCCCATACAAGTTTAAACTTTTTTGCATATTTGCCCTCGTTTATAAATTAAACTAGCTAATTTTTTAGGAAATATAGGGTTTGCACTTTGTATTTTGCAGTGAGTCAGTCATACTTGCGATTTTAGAGATGTTGAATAATGTAAACTATTATCGATCAGAGAGCTAAAAATCTTTTTATTGATTGGTTTTTTTTTTATGTATTTTACAATACATTAGAAGCTAACATTTATAGGACACTAATGATATATACAAGGTAAGGTTGTGCATAATTCTAGGCTGGAGAATAGCCGTAACATATCGAGATTGATCCTTAAATTTGGAATGAATATTTGAAAGATCATTTCCTTTTTCAACACTCCCCCTCAAGTTGAGTAGTGGGATCCCCAAAAGTCAACTTGCCAAGACAATTGTTAAAGATTCTTCCATTGACCGCCTTTGTTAGAATGTCAGCCACCTGGTCTTCTGATCGGACGAACGGAAGTTCGATAATCCCAGCTTCCAATTTTTCTTTAATGAAGTGTCGGTCAATCTCCACGTGTTTTGTTCGATCATGTTGAACTGAATTTTCGGAGATTTGAATTGCAGCCACATTATCACACATCATTCTACTTGTGCCCTTCGGAGGAAAACCAAGTTCTGTTAAAAGTTTCTTGATCCATAGAATTTCTGCCGGTCCCCGAGCTATGCCCATGAATTCAGCTTCTGCACTTGAGAGTGCAACAACCTTTTGTTTCTTGCTCTTCCACGTCACAAGGTTCCCGCCAACCAATGTGAAATAACCTGAGGTTGACCTTCGGTTCCCTTTATCACCTGCCCAGTCAGCATCAGTGTATGCTTGTATCTCCAAGCGCCCGTTTGATTTGAATAATACCCCGTGGCTAGGTGTTCCTTTAAGGTACCTTATGATTCTAATAATTGCTTCCATGTGAACAGCCTGGGGCTCATGCATGAACTGGCTGACAACTCCAATAGCGTACGCTATGTCGGGTCTAGTGTGTGACATATATATCAACTTGCCCACCAGTCGTTGATACCTTTCTTTATCAGCTAATTTAGCCTTAAGTTCCATATGGAGCTTGTGATTTGTCATCATCGGAGTTTCCATGGGTTTTCAGTCCACCATTCCAGTTTCTGCAAGGAGATCAAGAATATACTTCTTTTGGCAAATGAATATTCCCCGTTCTGATCATAAAACTTCAATTCCAAGGAAATACTTCAATCTTCCTAAGTCTTTCATCTCGAACTCTGCAAATAAGTTTTGTCTTAGCTGTTTCATCTCTCCTTCATCATTCCAAGTAATGATCATATCATCAACGTATATGATCAAACATGTTATAAGGCCATTTCTTCCCCTTTTTAGAAATAGAGTGTGATCGGAGTTGCTCTGTTTGTACCCATATTTTCTCATTGCAAGAGTGAATCTGCCAAACCACGCTCGAGGGGATTGTTTTAGCCCATACAGAGATTTTTTTAGACGACACTTCTTTTTCTTTAAATTTTTGGGCGAGCCCAGGTGGTGCTTCCATGTAGACTTCTTCTTTCAGTTCCCCATGCAGGAACACATTTTTTACATCAAATTGGTGGAGGGGCCACCCTTTATTGGCAGCGACAGAGAAGAGTACCCTAATTGTATCGATCTTGGCAACCGGAGAGAATGTTTCAGAGTAATCAATTCCATATGTTTGGGTATAGCCTTTGGCTACCAATCGAGCTTTGTATCTCTCAATAGTTCCATCCGGCTTATGTTTAATAGAAAAAACCCACCTACATCCCACTGGTTTTTTGCCTGGTGGAAGCACACACTTTTCCCATGGGTCGTTCTTCTTGAGTGCTTCCATCTCAATCTCCATGGCTTCTATCCACTCTCTTGATTCCAAGGCTTCTTGAGTTGTAGAAGGTGTTTGTTCAGAGCACAAAGCGGTGACAAACGATTTGGCTTCTTTGGACAAGTTTCCTTTAGCGATATTTGTCATAGAAAATTTTGATCTTGTAGTCTTTTTTTCTGGCGAGTATCTTTTGGGAGGAACTCCTCTATTTGCTCTTGGGGGTAGCACATACTTCTCTGTCACGGTCTCTTGAGTAGAATTGTTGTCTTCTTGCTGAACTTCTACTTCTTCTGGCTCTGTAGTCTCTACTTGTTCAGGAAATTCTTCCTGTTCTGTTGGCATTTCATGATTCTCATGGTTACTGGATAAAGGAGGATTAGAAATAGTTTCAGGGTTCTGAGATGCACTTACTTCGGACTCCAGGTTGGGCGGATCTTGGATGAAACTGATTGACGATTTAGTGGTAGTGTGAGGTGACCCATTTCCATTACTGTGATCAACGTTGTCAGAAGAAGGAACCCATTTCAACCAACTCAGTGGGTCCTCAATATTTTCCTCCCCCTGACCATTGTGTTGGGAGCGGTAGAAGTACTCAGTTTCAAGCCAGTCACAATTCATGGTGGTGATCACATTGCCTCGCTTTGGATTGTAACATCTGTACCTCTTCTGGTTTACTCCATAGCCAACAAACACACATTTTTCGGCACATGCACTAAGTTTGGTTCGATCAACTTTGGGGATGTGGGCAAACATAGAACATCCAAAAATTCGTGGTTCAAGGGTAAGGATGTTGGATTAGGTGTCTAAGCCCATAACTATAATTGGTATGTACTTGAATTGATAGCAGCACAGTCCTTTTGGGTTGCCCTCAAACCTAGCAACTGGACAAGGAAATTATGAAAGGAGAGATATTGATTTATTATAAGATTAATAAATTAATATAAATGATTTATTAATATGTTAAAAGATTAATATATTAATTGGAAATCATTAGGTTTAATTAATAGTTAGACAGAAATTAATTAGAATTAATTTTGGGGTTAATTGTATTAATTATAAAGTGCAGGGACTAGTTTGCAATT